AGGAGGGATGTGGGATTAAATATAAGTGCGGTGTGCAGTGTGCAGTGATCTTGGTTCTACTAAGGTGCTTCTTGGATTTGGTGCTGGAGGTTCCTAATCTGAAAAGGCACATTGGAACAGCCAGGTTTTCAAATTCTTTCTGAAAACTGCCAGTGTAGGGGCTTGTCTGAGATCTTTCAGGAGGGCGTTCCAGAGTCGGGGGGCCACCACAGAAAAGGCCCTGTCTCGCGTCCCCACCAAGCGCGCTTGCGACGCGGGCGGGATCACGAGCAGGGCCTCTCCAGATGACCGGAGTGAGCGTGTGGGTTCGTAGACAGCGATACTGTCACGCAGGTAGGGTGGTCCCAAACCATTCAGGGCTTTGTAGGTAAGCACCTGCACCTTAAATTGGGCTCGGAAATAAATTCCCCGCTGGAATGCTTTGCTGGAGTCTTCTTTATGGCCTCATAAATCAGTTAATTTAGCCTCCCCACACTTTAAGGTGGTACCTTATTTTCCTACTTGACAGATGCAACTGTCTTTCGGGTTGCAAAGGTCAACAACAGGCTACACACAATTGGTTGGAAACCCACTCCAACCCGGGCTGGCTTCGAACTCATGACCTTTTGGTCAGAGTGATCTTAATGCAGCTGACACTCAGCCAACTGCGCCACAATCCCGGGTCACACTGTCCCTGGCTTAGTCTATAAGAATACAGGTAGTCATAGATGTTCTCAGGGCTGCCTTTTAGCATTCTGCTGAGATGCAGTATGCATAGAGCTGGGACGGAGCCCCGATGGAAGTAGCCCTGCGCCATGTGAGGGGCTCCTGTGGACTCCGTCCTGGCTGCAACTCAACAGTATCCTAGGACAGGCAAAAAGCCCCATGTGACAAGGTCCTAAAAGTCTCTTACAAGTTGAACAAGGATACATCCTCTTCCCCCTTGCTTGCCCAGCTCTAATGTTTTCTTGTATTTGGTCTGTTTTATTTGGTTTTATTTCTACCTTTCAGTTTCACTCTGGATCCTCATTTGTCATTCTGCAAAGGATAAGCAAATGCTGACCAGGCCCAATGTGCAGCAATCTTCTTGCCCCTTGGGCTGCGACACTTGGAGCTCAGCACTGCATGACTTGGGTCTTCATGCTCCAACTGAAACAAAATTACAGTGCCTTTGGGCTTTGCCAGGGGATGATGGATGTCCACTTTGTTAGGGCCATGGCTCAGTGAGTGGAGCAGGCAAGGGGTCAGTATAAGCCTAATTGACTCGCCCTGCCAGCCATAAAAAGGCATTAGACTAGCAGCTGTCCAATGGGAGGGAAAAGGAAATGGATTAACACATAAGTAACAGCGGCCAAAAGGAAAATGGAACATAACCAGGAAGCTGCTTTGCTGGCACAAAGGTTCAGTCTCTGGATACCCATGCACTGCCTGAAAAGGAGAAAGTCATTGTCGAAGAAGAGGAAAAATTAGGATACCAATTTGCATAGTATTTGCATATTATTTGCAAGCATATAAATTTAAAAATAAATATTATGTTTTCATATCCTCCAACTATCTTCATGTATCTTGAGTAATCCTCTGTTGTCCCACTTTTTCAGCCGCTTTTAAAATGTTCCACTTTCTCCTGTCCCCCTCAGATTCTTGCTTTGTCTTCAGCGTATTTCAATTGCCACACACTGAGGTTAAAGTGCAAAAGTGGTTTGCACTCAGTGAGTAGTTGCAGGTTTTTCGGGCTGTATGGCAGCACTGAATGTTTGTCATGTATGTGTACTGTGATCCACCCTGAGTCCCCTTTGGGGTGAGAAGGGCGGAATATAAATAAAGTGTTGTTGTTGTTGTTGTTGTTGTTGTTATTTGAAACACAACAAGATGAGTCCACAGCAGACAAGATCACTCTGTTGGCTGTTGTATTGGATCACACGTTGGACACTTCCCAAGTGTCTAGAACTATGTGATGTATTGGCGAATAATGCATGCAGATCCCAGTAAGATGGCCTTCTTCAGCTGGCAGATGGTAATTTTGTCAGCGCCGATTGTGTTTAAGTGCAGGCCAAGGTCTTCAGGCACTGTACCCAGTGTGCCGATCACCACTGGGACCACCTTGACTGGCTTGTGCCAGAGTCTTTGCAGTTCGATCTTTAAATCCTCATATTGTGTCAGCTTTTCCATTTGTTTCTCTTCAATCCTGCTGTCTCCTGGGATTGCAACATCAACAATCCATACCTCACTACCTCTGAGGATGCTTGCCATAGATGCAGGTGAAACATCAGGAGAGAATGCCTCTAGACCATGGCCATATAGCCTGAAAAAACCTACAACACCCCAATCCATACTTTGTTTTTTAACATGATCGTGAGGTCAGGAGTATTGTGTTCCAAAACTCTGTCTGTCTGAATCCGGAAGTCCCAGAGTAGCTTGATGTGTTCATTCTCTGTAACCTTTTCTGGCTTGTGATCCCACCAGTTCTTTGTCGCAGGCAGATGGTATTTGTGGCATAAGTTCCAATGAATCATCTGAGCAACAGTGTTATGCCTCTGTTTGTAGTCTGTCTGCATGATCTTCTTGCAACAGCTGAGGATGTGGTCTATTGTTTCATCTGCTTCCTTGCAGAGTCTACACTTGGGATCTGTTGTCGACTTTTCAATTCTTGCTTTGATGGCATTTGTTCTAATTGGTTGTTCCTTGTCCTTTGTCTCCTTTTTCAAAGTCCCATTTGTGAGCCACAACCATGTTTTTTTCTTTGTCAATTTGGCTCTCAATTTTTCCCAGGAACCGTCCATGGAGAGCCTTCTTTCGCCAGTTTTCTCTTCTGCTCTAGATTGTGTTTTTATGGTATTCACCCTTTGTCTTTTGCACTTTAAGCAGTTTACTACTATTGACTTTCCTCAATGTTGGTTTTTGACTGCCTTTCACNGAGGTTGATGTACAAAATGTAATAGTATGTAATAAAGTGATAATCAATAAAAAATTTATATATAAAAAAAAAAAGAACTGGGGCCATAATAGAGGCAGATTGCTTTTCTTGCCCTTCTCCCCTTGCTCCCCACTTTTCATTTATTTTCCTTTTCCTATCTGTATTGTTAAAGTGTAGACATTTTAAGATTAGCAATGCAATTTATACCCCTCTCCATTGTAATCCCACAAATAAAGAGATCTCCTTCTCTTTAGCTCTTTCTAAGTAAATTCCTTTTATACATTTTAAAAGGAAAGGATTTGTTTGTACAAACCCCAATATTTTATTCTCAACTGATGCATGGATCAATGCAAAATCCATAATTTTGGCCCTCAAACCTACCCTCATCTTATTATGAGGTTGACTTATTGTTACATATGCTATATTTAATTACACATGGAATCCAAAATTCTCCCTATTTTTGTCTAACCCTGCAGTTTCAATAGGTTGGGGTTAATTTTCCATTCTCAATAAAGAATACCCACAAAATAATGTCCAGATGAGAGGATCAGGACTCTTGCAGCAAACAAAGTAAATGGGTCCTGCCTATTTACACGGCCGGGCCTTACAATCGACTGGGGAGGCCCTCCTCTCAGTTCCACCTCCTTTGCAACCAAGGCTGGCAAGGACAAGGAAAAGGGCTTCCTTATTGGTGGCCCCCCCAACTCTGGAATACCCTCCCCAGGGAGATTAGAAAGGCATCCACCCTCACAGCATTTAGGAGGGACTTGAAGACCTGGTTATTTAAACAGGCTTTTAATAGTGATTAGTCAAACTCTAGGATATGGATTTTTAAAAATGTTTTTATTGTAATGGTATCCATCTAATCCATCGAAATAAACTTACTTTATGTACATCCATAAACCATTACATTTTTGCCCCCTTTTTTTCCCTCCCCCCCTCCCTCCAACTTTACAACAAAGAATTTTTTAAGTGCAACCAGTTCAGGATTCTTTCCATTTTTCCTTTATCTGATCATTAGCTTTCCCTTCTTCAACCCATTTCACATATCTTAACCAGTTCTCTTTAATTCGTTGTATTTTTATAGACCATGGTATATCTTGCATTATTCCCATAATATCCGACTGTACTTGTTCATAAGTGTATTCGTTCCATCTGTCCATTGTCCATTTTTTCTAGGATATGGATTTACCTCAATGGGGTAGTAAGCTCTTTTAGGTCATAGGAACGACTGTATTTTTATTGTTAACTAGCTGTACCCGCCACGCGTTCCTGTGGCCAGCCTTCCCTCTCTCTTTCTCTCCTCCCTTCCCTCTTTCCTTCCTTTCATCTTTTTCTTTCCCTATCTCTCATCTTTCTTCCATCTCTACCTGTTTCTTTCCTCCCTTTCTTTGCTCTTTGGTTACATCCTTCCTTCCTTCCCTATCTTTTTCCTGTCACCTTTTTATTTCCTTCTCTCCTTCCTTGCTTCTCTATCTTTCTTTCTTTCCTTCTTTCCCTTCCTCCTTCTCTCCTTCCTTCCTTCCCTCTTTCCCTCCTTCTCTCGTTACTTCTTGACTGTCCCTTCCATTTAATATTGTATTTATATCTTACATAGAAAGAAGGAAAGGAAGAAGGAAGGAAGGAGGGACAGGAAGGAAGGAAGGAAAAAGGAAGGGAGGGAGGGAAAGAAGGGAAGGAAGGAAAAGAAAGAAGGAGGGACAGGAAGGGAGGGAGGGAAAGAAGGGAAGGAAGGAAAAGAAAGGAGGAGGGACAGGAAGGGAGGGAGRGAAAGAAGGGAAGGAAGGAAAAGAAAGAAGGAGGGACAGGAAGGGAGGGAGGGAGGAAGGAGAAGGAAGGAAGGAGGGAAAGAAAGGAGGGGGTGAAGAAAGGAGGGAGGGAAGGAAATGAAGGGAAAGGAAATGAAGAAAGGGAAAGAAGGAGGAAAGGAAGGGAGGGAGGGAGGGAGGGAGGGAGGGAGGAAAAGAAGGAAAGGAAAAAGGAAGGAGGGACAGGAAGGAAGGAAAGGAGGGAAAGAAGGAAAGGGAGGAGAAGGGAAGAAGAAAAGGAAAGAAAGGAAAGGGAGGAAAGAAGGAAAGGGAGGGAGAGAAGGAAGGTCCTTTATTCAAGCATCGTGGACCTTCCTCGCCGCCTCCTCCCCCTCCTCCTCCCTTTCTTCCTTGCGTGGAACACTCCGTTGCTGCTGCTGGCACTTTCCAACAGGGAAAGGAGGAGGAGACTCTCCTGACATAGGAGGGGAAGAGAAGGGGCTGCATGCGGCAAGCCTCCACCTCCACTCACTTGTGTGTGTGTGTGTGTGTGTAGCCGTGCACGTGCACATGGCTTTAATGGCCGGCTGTTTCCCCGTGAGGAGGAGGAGGAGGGGGCGTGGCCATGGGTCTCCGTAGACATGCAGTTTCCCCTTTGTGGACATGCAGTTTAGAAGTCCTTTCTGCTTTTTGTTTTTGTTGTTTTTTTGAGTGGAGAACATACATTGGGTTGTTAGGTGCCTTGTGTCCAAATTTGGTGTCAATTCTCCCAGTGGTTTTTGAGTTCTGTTAATCCCACAAACGAACATTACATTTTTATTTATATAGATTTTGTTACTTGATTGTTCTGTATTTTGTGTTTTATATTGATTTGATGTGTTATTGTTTGCCCCATTTTATGTATTTTATTGTATTGCACTTATTGTATTATTTATGTTGTAAGCAGCCCCAAGTCCTCCAGGGAGAGAGGGTGGGATATAAATAAACATCATCATCATCATCATCATCATCAAAGATACTCACCACAAATCCACACCTTCATCATATTTCCTAGCACCATAGAGGAGTTCAGGAGCCCGATACCACCTCATGGAGAAGAAGATCACAAAAATCATGACTCTGAGGAGATCCAAACCCATTCATCTCTATCACTCCTTACACACCAGACTCCACTTTTCCCATACAATCTATGCCACAGTTTTCAGCATCCTCCTACTCCAGTGCTACTCCACAGCTATAATAATAGTAAATAATAATAAACTTTATTTATACCCCACCACCATCTCCCCAACGGGGACTCAGGGTGGCTTACATGAGGCCAAGCCCATACAACAAATTACAATAAAATAAGATACAAGTTACAAAAAAATAAACAACATCACAGAAAGATACAGAACATATGACTAAAATGGAAAAAATAATAATAAAATATATTTTTTAAAAAAAGTAAACCAAACATAATGACAATGAGCGGGCCGCATGTACATAAAATGATTAAAAACTCAGGGTGAGATAAAGGAGCAGAATTATTTGTGAGTGAGAACTACATTTCTAAGCTAGACTTCAAGAGTCTAGAAATAAAATATGTACTTGGGTGGGGTCTGATGTTAATTTGTTGTTGCATGCCTCCATGTTTTTTACCTAAGGTGACCTTATCTGGGCCTGAGAGGGTGTGACTCTCCCAAGGTCACGTATTGGTCATGATCAAGCATGAAACAGATCCCCGATCTTGAGTTGAAGACCAATGGTCAAAGTACTACACATTGCCTTGATTATCAGTCCATGCCCCCTGCCAATCCCTATTCACCTGGTGGCTACTTGGTGGCTATAGAGCCTCTCCCCATCACTGGTAAAGACCCTGGCCAGACCAAAGTCAGCAATTTTCAGCTGACCTGTAGAGCTGATCAGCAAATTGGCTGGTTTCAGGTCCTGTAAAGAAAAGACAAAAATTCAGAAGACCTGCAGGTGTTCAAAGGAAAAGATGGGAAGTGAGCACAGGCTCAGGAAAAGGAACCCTGAAGGAGAAGAATAGACTAGACTTGGCGCTTACCCGATGCATGATGGAGTTGGCGTGGCAGAAGGCCACTCCCTTGAGCAGCATAAGCATGTAGCCTTTTACTTGGGCCTCAGTGAGAGGCTGTTCGGAGTTGCGGATCACCTCAGACAGGTCAGACAGCATGTATTCAAACACCAGCACAAAGCCTGTGCCATGAGGAAAGACATCCTTCAGTTTCACCACCTAAAGAGAGAGAAGGAATGATCTGACATCGGTTTTGCAAACTCTAAAGCAGTGGTTCTCAACCTTTCTAATGCGGTGATCCCTAAATAAAGTTCCTCATGTTGTGGTGATCCCCAACCATATTTTCGTTGCTACTTCATAAATAATTTTGCTACTCTTATGAATTCTACTGCAAATATCTAATATGCAGGATGTATTTTCACTGTTACAAATTGAACATAATTAAAGCATAGTGATTAATCACAAAAACAGTATGTTTGGGGGAGTATGGACAACGGATGACGGGATTTGCAGTACCTTCAAGCAATTCAGCTCTGACTTCCACAGACCACTGAGATCCCCCACGAATTACAGACCTGGACCAAACTTGAACACACAGAACTCCCATGACCAGCGGAAAATACTGGAAGGGTTTGGGAGGAATTGACAGTGATTTATGGGACATGTAGTTCACTTACATCCGAAAAGCACTGTGAACCCAAATGACTATGGATCTGGACCAAACTTGGCATGAATACTCAATATGCCCAAATTTGAACAATGGTGGAGTTTGGGGGAAATGGATCTTGACATTTGGGAGTTGCAGTTGCTGGGATTTATAGTTCCTCTGCCATAAGAGAGCATTCTGAACTCCAACAAAATGGAATTGAAGAAGCTTGGCATACAGAACTCCCATAACCAACAGAAATTACTGAAGAGTTTTGGGGTTATTTTCCTGACATTTAGGAGTTGCTGGGATATATAGTTCCCTCCCATCCAAAAGCATTCTGAACTCATGCAGCCATGGAATGGACTCAAACTTGGCACAGAGAACTCCCATGATCAACAGAAAATACTGGAGAGGCTTGGGGAACATAGACCTTGGCATTTGGGAGTTGCTGGGTTATATAGTTTCCTCCCATCCAAAAGCATTCTGGACTTATGTAGCCATGGGATGGACTCACACTTGGCACAGAGAACTCCCTCCGTCCAACCCCAACCCCTTCTGAGCTCGGATGGAGGCAAGGCCGGGCGGTGAAGGCTCCATGGATGGCCAGGTATTGAGGACGGCAGGGAGAAGTTTACTCACCTTGCAGGTCTGAACAGAGGGGAGTCTTTTTCCCCTGTGCGTTTGCCTCCAAAGCTCCTCCTCCTGACTACGCACAAGTCTGTGGGAAGAGCAGGAGGAGGAGCCTGCCAGGAGTGCCATTTGGCTGGCTCAGGGGGTCGGCAGCCATTTTGGAGGGGGCGGGGCCGTCCAAGGCAGCTTCGCGACCACCCAAAAATGGCCAAACGACACCCCCAGGGGTCGCGACCCCCAGGTTGAGAACCACTGCTATAAAGTCTCATGCCAAAGGGAACAAACTACAAATCAGAAAACCTCTTCCATACACTACTCAAATCACATTACGCTAAGATAGAACACCAGAACCTTTGACTTAAGAAAATGGAAAGAAAATCAGCCCATCTCCAGCCATCAGATACAAATTTGGTTCCAAGAACACTTTGTGCAAACCACACTTTTCTCCCATTCTTCAGTTTTTGATCTTTGCATCCCCAGAAGCCCCAGTCAGCATGGTCAACAATGGGAAATGAAATCCAAAACACTTGGAGGGCTAGTGCATTTAATCCACTTGCCGGCACAGACTTCAACACACTACTCACATGTTGGTTTTCTTCAATTTCTTGCAGGGCCTTGATCTCCCGAAGTGCTTGGTTGGGGATCCCGTCCTCTAGTTTCCGGAGAGCCACTTTCTTCAAGGCAACTGTCTCCCCAGTCTGTCAAGAAGGAGAGCACAGTAAAAACCAAAAACAGGTTTTAACTTCCATATTTGAGAAAGCAGTTGAGTTGTGGTGACAGATCCCACTTACCTCTATATTTTTGGCTTTAAAAACAATGCCATGAGCCCCTTCTCCAATGCGGCCCAAGATGCTGTATTGGTCCATGGTGCTTCTAGGAGTGGAAAGAGAAAAAACACACATTGCCTTCTTAGTTGTGAGACGCATATTATGACAATAATTTATTTATTTATTTATTTATTTATTTATTTATTTATTTTATTTATTTATTTATACGCTTGTATACCGCTAATATCTCAGCCTAAGTCGGCGACTCATTGCGGTTTACAACATTTAAAAAACAGTATTCAGTTTAAAAGCATAAAACACATATACAATACAAATTATTGGGCCACCAATAATAATCCCATGCATCTCATAACTGGAATCGCAGTCCGAAACTCATCGTCCATGATTACCAATCCTTTAATCATCAAAATTCGTTGCAACGGATTAACCGAATGCTTGTTTAAACATCCATGTCTTCAATCTATTCCGAAAC